TCCCTTCCCTTCCCTTCCCTTCCCTTCCCTTCCCTTCCCATCCCATCCCATCCCATCCAGCCTCAGCTGTGCCCAGTCAGACACAGCTCCTGACTGGCACAGAGCAACCAGAGAACCACGAGGGGCTCAGGACCCTCCCCAGTGCTCCCTTTCTTTGACACCAGCAGTGGAAGGGTTACAACGAAATCCTTCTGTGCAGAGCTTCTGGAATTCCAGATCCTCAGTGTGCTGGAGAGAAACGCAGCAGGAATTGGAAATATTTGACCCCAGTAATGGGGTGGCATTGCTGGACATTATTTTGGACATGGTTCATGGATCCTAGGGGGGTGAGGGCAGCCCTGGGTGCTGCAGCCTTGGAGTCACACGAGGACACCACAGGGAGGGCAGGGATGCTGCTCCAGCCTTGTCTTGTCGAGGAAAGGGATGGACCTCTCCTGGTGGATCTCCTGGGGAGCAGCCAGCCCTCCTGCATCACGTGGAGGCTCCTTCCTCGCCCTCCCGCTGCTGGTCCTGCCTCTCCCAGAGCTCACGGTGACATCCTGTGGTTTCTGTGTCCCTTGAGGAGCTGGCACGGGGCTGGCCATGGGGACAGCAGTCTGCTGTGACAGCTGGGCTGTGCTCTCCAGCTGCTTCCTTCACAAGCCCTGATCCCTTCCTGATCATCTGCGGAGCTGGGTCAGTTCAGCCAGGCAGCAGCAAAGCCGGTGAGGAAATGCCTGCCCAGGGAGCTGAATCGGCTCCCTGAAGCACCAAACGACCTTTAGACCAAAATTAAAGGAGAGAATGCAGTTCCCTGGTTTTCAGCTCATCTTCCTCAGCCAGTGCTGACCTGTTCCAGTGGCAGGGTGAGGAATCACCTCCTGCAGTGAGTGGCTGCAGTGCAGGCGCTGTGTGCACCTTGCCCTGCTCAGCTCCTTCCTCCCACACCTGTGGCTCCCCTTGGGGGTCCTGCAGTGCTGACAGCTGGAGAAGGTCCCTTCCTCATCCTGGCAGCTGCATTTCCAGTTGGGAAAGGCAGCCTGGAGCATTAGGATTGCCTGAGTGTACCCAAACCAGGCTGTCAGCATGGCCTGGATCCCCAGCATGAGCCCCAGTTGTTTACCAGCCTGATGGGACACACCCCTGTTAGACAGGAAATGACCTGAGCCTCAGTGAAAAGCACTTTGTTTCTTTTGGGGCACTTTAATTGACTTTGCACCCCTGCAGCAGCGCAGGAGCCCCTGGGGCACCTCTGCTGCTGCAGCTGCCCCCGGGGCAGGGCAGTGCTTCAGTCACTCCTGCAGTGACACTGGGGATGGCTGCCACCTCTCTACTGGAATTTCGTGTGCACGTACTCAGCCCCGTGCTCCTGGTACTCGTCCTTTGTCATCCACGTGTGCTGGAAGGACGTGAGTGAGGCTGCCATGGAGCCCCCGGCCCAGGCTGCCGTGCCCCTCCTGGGGTTCGCCAGCACCTCGATGTGGACACCTGCTCCTTGGAAAAGGAAGTTCAGCTCCAAGCACATCCTCTCGGGAAAGCCAGGAAACATGGAGGAGCCTCCTGAGAGCACGATGTTGCCCAGCACGTGTCTCCTGGCCTGCTTGGGCAGCGTCTGCAGGCTCTGCCCGGCCAGCTGGTGCAGGCCGGGGCAGCTGAGCTGCAGCAGCTCGGGCCGGAACAGCGGCTCCGGGCAGCAGAAGCGCTCCTTGCCCAGGGTGATCCAGCGCCCATCGGGGGTCTGGAACCTGGCTGGGGAATGGGAATCCTTCTCCTGGAGGTCTCCCTCGTAGTCCAAGGACACGTAGCAGCATTGCTCCTTCAGCTGGGTCAGCACCTTCTTCGTCAGGGCCTGCAGCGCCGAGGGCTCCTCGGGGCTCTGCAGCAGCAGCCGGTGCAGGTACCGGGACAGGTGGTCCCCGGCCACCCCCAGGCAGCGGGTGCCCTTCCTCAGGGTCTGGCCCCCCCAGACGGAGGTGACATGGGACACCGCCGCCCCGGCCTCCACGGCCAGCCCGGTGACCCTGCCGTGGGCGCAGAGCGACAGGAAGCCGGTGTTGGCCAGGTGCAGGGCGGGCACGCCGAAGCTCTCGAACAGCACCTCGGCCGCCTTCGCCCTGTGGGTGGCGGGGCAGGACGGGGACTCGGCCAGGAGCACCGGGTGCTCCTCTGGGGACACTTTGAGGCAGCAGCAGAAGAGGTGGCTCCACAGTGCTCTCATGCCGTCCCAGTCCTCAACGAGGCCGTACTTGAGCGGGCAGCACCGCAGGGCTGCGGCCGAGCATCGCGGGCTCTCCGTGCCAGGGCAGGGCTGCCACGGGCTGCCCACGCTGCAGGGCTGCACCAGCACCGTCCTCAGCACGCACTGGGGCTGCTCCTGGCCCGCAAAGCCCCCCCGCGTGAAGCGGCTGCCGCTGTCTATGACCACGGCGGGCTTCAGCATGGCTGGCGCTCCGCAGGGATGCCGGGCACGGAGGAAGAGCCTGCGGTGGGACAAGAGGGGTCTGGTGAGGGCAAACCAGGCTCAGGTGCCTGCTCTGCAAGGGGGGTGGCTCAGCCCCACTGGAGGACAGCAGTGTCTGCTCTGGAAGTGTCTGGGTATGTCCCTCCTGGCTCCTCGCTCCCTGTCTCACTGATCATCCCTCCTTGTCTCCAGTGGTTTTCTAACAGTGCAAGGACAGAGTTCAGGTGGTTTTAAGGAAGCAAGTGAACACTTGAGAGGAAAGTTGAGTGGTTGGACCAAATCCTGGGCTGTATCTGAAGGAGAGGAGCCAGAAGGTCGAAGATGACTCTTCTCATCTACTCTGCTCTTGTGAGACCCCATTTGGAATATTGTGCACAGCTCTGGTGTCTCCAGCATTAAGAAGGACATGGAACTGTTGGAGCAATTTCAGAGGAGGCCACAGAGTTGCTGAGGGCACTGGAGCACCTCCCCTCTGGAGACAGGCTGAGAGAGCTGGGGCTGTTCAGCCTGGAGCAGAGAAGGTTGTGTAGAGACCTCCCAGCACCTTCCCAGAGTGTGAAGGGGCTACAGGGAAGTGGGAGAGTGACCCTTTGTCAGGAACTGTGGTGACAGGACAAGGGGAATGTGATCAAACTGAAAGAGGGGAAATTTATGCTGGATATTAAATGCATGAGGTTCTTTGCTGTGAGGGTGGGCAGGCCCTGGCACAGGGTGCCCAGAGCAGCTGGGGCTGCCCCTGGATCCCTGGCAGTGCCCAAGGCCAGGATGGACAGGGCTTGGAGCAGCCGGGGACAGTGGAAGGTGTCCCTGCTCATGGCAGGGGGGGATTGGAACTGGATGATCTCTGAGGTCCATTCCAATCCCTTAACATCCTATAATTCTGTAAATGCTGCCGCCAGCAGAGCCCATAGCACACAGAGAGGAGCTGAGAGGATCTGTGTTCCCAGCTGGCAGAGAAAGGCAGGAGTTTGGGGTGCCTCTGTGTGTCCGGGCCCTTCCCTGGCTCTCTGTGCCTCCCAGACCTTCTCCTGTGGTGTGGTGTGCCTCTTGGCCCGTTCTTTGGGCACTCTCCAGGCCAGGTGACCTCTTTGTTCTCCCCAAAGCTTCTCACATGCCCCTCTGGATGCACTTTTACACCCCCAGTGTAAGGACCTGTCAGAAATTCATCAGGGAATGTCTCATGGGAGCAGACAGGCTGGCACTGTCCCTGGGCAGAGAGGGCACAAAGCTAGCCCCTGCCTGGGCCTGCCAGTGGTGGAGGGTCCCTGCAGGAGCTGCCAGCACCCAGGGGGCCACCACAGGCTCCCAGCCTTGTCCCCAGCCCTGCAGTGGGCAGAGCAGTGTGTGAGCAGGAGGCACAGGGGATGCTGTGCCAGCCCTGGGGCCCTCCCCGGGGTGGGGGCTGTCCCTGAGAGTGACCTTGACCTTGTGGCTTGTGTCCGTCTGCCCTCCTCCACAGCTCCTGGAGCTGCCAGTGCTGGGGCAGGGCTGGCAGTGCTGGGGCAGCAGTGCCCATGGAACCATGGCTGCATTCCCTGTTGTGATCTCACAGCAACGCACCCCGAGGGTTCTTCTGCCCCACAGCCACACTTCTGCCACCAAGTGTCACTTGTGGTGATAATTAAAATTTGATTGAAACCCACCCCGTTTGGTTTATTTAAGGGACAGCCCCTTCCAGGTGTGGCTCTTCTGCCCCTGCACAGAGGCAGATCTGACAGATCCTGTCCCCTCTCCTCCAGAGGTACGAGACAGCCTCGAAGATGGAGCAGTTCCTGACGCGGTTCCTGCTGCGGGAAACCATGCACCAGCTGCAGTCCCTGCAGGCGTCCCTCGAGTGCGCCGTGGACACCGTGGAGGAGCAGGCGGGACGGGAGAGGTACCAGGATGGGAGAGGAACTGGGTGGGACGGGATAGGAGAGATGCCAGGGGGGACAGGAGAGGTACCAGGTGGGATGGCAGTGGTACCAGGTGGCACGTGCCCAGCCCCTGTCTCCAGCCCCCTCCTCACTGGGAGGGACAGCCAGGAGCCCTTTCCCAGCCCAGTGCTGAGCTGACACCTCTAGGAATGACTTCAACCCCTCCTTTTGCTTTTTTTTTTTTGGTTGTTGTTTTTTTTTTTTTTTCCAGAAAGGAGGTCAAGAAATCGGAGACTTCAGTTGGCCTGAGGTCAGGGAGGCGGTGTGGGCGCAGGGGACAGAAGAACATCTGCCTGTCCCCAACAGACCCCTACTCTGGGATGCTGACAACAGGTACCTGCTGTTCCTCAGCTTCTTGGTGTCCTGCTGGAGCCTGGAGGGGGTGTGGGACTGTCACAGAATCACAGTAAGGTGGGAAAAGATCTCCAAGATCAGGTCCAACCATTCCCCCAGCACTGCCAAGGCCACCACTAACACGTGTCCCCAAGTGCCACATCTCCAGCAGCACTGGGCACTGAGGGCTCCTCCAGGATGGGGCCTGGAGCATCTTGCCCAGATGCCAGCTGGAACTTCTGTGAATGTTGTATCTCTTGGTCAATAGAAAAAAAATCAAGTTTTTTGGATTAAATCCGAGGTTTAGAAGATTTTATGGGTTTTGGGTCTTGAGCAAGCTTTGGCCGTGACAAAACTGAGCTTTTTCTGGGTGACACTTCTGTGCCCTTTGCCCTGCAGGTGTTTGTGTCGAGGACAACAGCCAGTGGATGGCCCAGATCAACAGGCTCCAGCAGCTCATCGAGAAGCTGGAGTGCCAGGTGTGCGCCCAGGGGGTGCTGGGGCTGCCCCACACCTGGGCACGGCCACGTCAGTGCGGGGACCCCCCTCCCGTGCCAGCAGCCCCCTCTCCAGCCCTGGCATTGTCACAGAGCTGCACCGGCCCAGCCCTGCATCCCCTTCCCCCAGCTCTGCTGACCCTGTCCTGGCTTCCCCTGGTGCTGAGGAGTCCATCAGGCCGCAGTGACCCCGCAGGGGTGCAGGGCACAGCCCTGCCCTTCCCCAGGTGCCACAGGGAGTGTCCCTGGGGTGGCACCCAGCTGTCCCCGGGGGTCGGTGCCACTCCTGCTGCAGAGCTCTCCTGGTGACTCTGGTTTTACCCAGTAGCTCTGGTTTATCCCAGTAACTCCGGGTTTTCCTGGTAACTCTGGTTTTACCCAGTAACTCTGTTTCTTCCCCGGTGCTAACGCAGAGCCCCCGCCTGGAGCCACTGAAGGAGGAAGCCATGTGCAAGGGACAGGATGCAGTAAGTCCCTGTCCATGTCCCCATCCCTGTCCCTGTCCATGTCCCTGTCTATGTCCCCATCCCTGTCTGTGTCCCCATCCCTGTCCCTGTCCCCGTGGTTTGCAGTGACTCCTCTCACACGCTGCCCAGCCTGGGAGCTCTGCTGTGACCCGCTGATGGAGCAGGCTGGGATCCAGGGCTGGGATCCAGGGCTGGGATCCAGGGCTGGGACCATCCAGGGGACAAATGCAGGTCCCTCGTGTCCCTGCCAGCCCCGGGCAGTGCCCACAGCCAGCCCTCTGCTTGTGAGAGCCCAAACCCCGGGGTGCTCGGAGTGCCCGCAGAGCCAGGTGCGGGGTCCCCCGGCCCCTTCCCGTGGGGATCAGCAGCAGGACCCCCACGGGGGATGGAGCCTCTCCTGCTGCTGTGCTCCCTGCACGCAGCCTGCCCAGCGGGGGAGAGGCCGCTTTGTGTCCCCGCTGTCCCCAGCGCGGAGGTGGCACAGGGTCGGGGGGAGCAGGGCGGGCAGGAGGGGACAGTCGCTGACACCGTGCTGTCCCTCGGCAGCACATCCTGGTGGCCAAGAGGCAGATCTCGGTGGCCACGAGCAGCATCGAGGAGTTCCGGCAGGCGTTCCGCTCCTACACCGAGGGCACGGCCGGGCACAGCAGCTGCCTGCAGTGAGTGCGGTGTTTGCTTTGGGGCTGCTTTGGGGGGTGGATCCCCCAGAAATGCGGGTTTTAGCACCCTCGGGGGACACAAGGGTTTGTGTGATGTTTTGTGTGGTGGCCAGGGCAAGGCTGGGCTGGGACCTGGCAGGCAGTGTCCCCCAGCACCATCCCATCTGCTGCAGGTATTCCCAGTAAGAAGCAGTGCCTGGCGAGCAGTGGGAGGGTTTGTGCCGGCAGGAGTGGCTGTGGCCTGTTCCTGTGAGTGCATGCACGAGCTCCTCCAGCGCTGAAGGACTCAAAAGCAGTGGGAAGGTCAAGGGCAGGGCTCCTGCAGAGCTCTGATTGATGGAGAGCCTGTGGGAAGCTGCCCCTGGGTGAGGCCAAGGCTGCCCCAGAGCCCTGCTGTGCCTGCAGGGCCATGGCAGTGCCAGCCTGGCCCTGATGGCACAGCTGCTCCCTCCGCTCTCCCACGGGACACTCCAGGCTGCCTCCAGCAGGGAATGTTCCTGCTGTTCCCGTTTCGAGTGTCCTTTCTCAGCTCTTCACTTTCAACAGCACAAATTCACATTTTCAGTCCAAACAAAAGGAAGATGCTCACTGTGACACGTGTGGTGGAGAGAATGAGAGGCTTTTTCTTTGGAACTGATGGGCTTTTTTGTCATCAGGGCTATGTGTGGAGGCAGGGTGGCGTGTGGGCTGGCTCTCCATGTGAGCCAAAAGCTGGAGCCGAGCCCGGGACACTCCATGGGGCTGGGTCCCTGCAGGGGATGGCAGAGCCCCGTGTGGGAGCAGGGCACACAGCCCCAGAGCTGCTGGGTGACACACTGTGCTGTCCCCCCGGGGCTTGGCCCCTTCCAGCAGCTGCAGGAAAGGCTTGGCCTCAGCTGGAATTGCTGCTGCTGCAGCCCAGCACAGCTGCTTCCCCTGGCCCTGGACCCCCAGCACTGCAGTCACCCCAGGCTGCCTCCCCACCACCACCCCAGCCTCTCCTGGACACCAGGGAATGTGGGAATTATCACTCTGGGGGCAGAGAGCTGGGGGTTTGTGCTGTGAGCTCAGCTCCTGCCCCTGTGCCTCAGTTTCCCCCTGTGTGAAGGGTGGCACCCACCTACTCCAAGGGGCTGGCAGAGCTGTGTCAGTGCTGGGGAGGAGTGAGAAATAATAAAACACAGAATGTGCTGGCTCCTGGGCAGCAGCAAAGACCAGTGAGAGAGTTGTAAAGCTCTTCTGCCCCCTGGACACAGGAGCTGTGGAGCAGGATTTGGGTTTGGGACCCTCTGGAGCTGTGAATGCACCCAAACTGTGCCTTGGGAGCTGATGGGGAGGCTGATGTGCACAGCAGTGCCCTGCTGCCCCAGGCTGCTGGGGCACACGTGGCCATGCCATGCCAGGCTCGTGCAGGGCCGTGGCAGGCTCATGCCAGCCTGCCCTGCCCGGCTGAGGGTCACTCTGTCCCCACAGTGTCTCTGCCTGCAAGCTGACGGACGAGGCCTGCTTCATCCTCTACGAGTTCTGGCAGGACGTGACCTCGTGGAGGAGGTGGGACAGTGCCCACGGTGGGGCTGGGGGGCTCAAAGGGGGTGCCCACTGCTCCCTTCCCTTGCCCAGCCTGTCCCCCTGCTCTGCCCTGTGTGCCCTGGGGCCACCTGCAGCTCACAGGGGTGAGCACCCCGATAAAGGGTTTGGGGAGCAGGGCAGGAGCAGGGGCTGGTGCTGGAGGTGCAGAAGCTGCCCTGTGCCTGTGGGTGGGCACAGGGCCCTGGCACCACATCCCCCTGACCCTACACCCTGTTTGACAGCCACTTGCAGTCCAGCTGCAGCAAGACTTTCCAGCAGTCCATCCTCAGCTTGCTGGAGTCCCCGGAGCTGCTGACCACCATGCTCTTCCCAGGTGAGGCTGCCTCAGCCCTGCTCTGGGTGTGCTGCAGAGGGCAGGAGCAGGGCAGGAGCAGGCACTGTGGCTCCCTTCAGGGCAGAAAATCGGTTTGGGGTGACCTAAATGAGGTCAAACCTCAGGGTGAGACCCGTTGTCCCCAGCAGGTTTGGCTGTGTGAGCTGGGGTCTGTCCCCTGCCCAAGGGTGGGGACAGCCAAGAGCAGGGACAAGCAGATAAGTCCTGGCCCAAATACAGCTGGTGCCTCGTTTTGTGTTTCCCCTGAGCCCTGAACCTGCTCTGCAAAGCGCTGGTGCTCCCAGCTCAGTGCCAGGGGATCCAGCCCAGCGCTGGGGCAGGGGCAGGGCACATTCCCAGGGTACCCATGGAAGTGGGACCAGCTGTGGGGACTGGGAACCAAATTCAGCCCCAGTTTACTTTCAGGGATCACTTGTAAAATATTACTCCATAAAACATGGATTCATTTGGACTGAACCCTGCACTGCTGGTGCTGCTCCCGAGTTGCCAGTGCCACTGAGCACATTCCCAGTGCTCTCCTGCAGAAGTTGCCACAGTTCCAGGGGCTCACCCCTCTCCAGGCTCCCTGCCCGGGGTCGGTGCTTTAGAGCCAGGGACCTGCAGGGTGAGGTCCCCCATCTCTGCCACCCCAAATCCCCGTTCCCAGTTTCACACTGCCCTCAGCTCCCTGCTTTCCCTCTCTTCCCAGCTTCCTGGTGGATCATGAACAACAACTGACCCGGGGCAGCTCTCCAGGACACCATCAGCATGCGGGAGGACGTGGAGTCCTGGGCACAGCCTTTGTCACCTTTGTCACCTCCCTGTCCCTCCATTCCCTCCTGTGGCCAGTGGGGGCTGCCTGCCCTCGGCCCCGCCAGTGTTTTTGCTCCTTTGCTCTTTTCATGTTAATTTATTTATTTCTCCTGCTCCTAAGCCAGTGTCCGAGCTGCCTGGGGGGGGCTGTGGGAGGGGTGGCAGCCTGGCCCCTGGGGGAGCACGGGGCTGGTGCTGCCCTCAGTCCCTCCTGCACTCAGCTCCTCTTCCTCCTGGCTCTGAGGCTGCCCAGGGACAGGGAGGGGGACACGGCACTGGCCAGCTGTGACATCCTGCCCAGGGAGCCAGATGGCCTGATATGGATTGTCAAGAGTGTTTTATAGGGAAAAAATATTTCATGAAGTACTTCTGGCAAGGTGTACCTGACCGTGCCCTGCCACGCTGGCAGCATGTGGCTTTGAGGCTGGCTTTGTGCCCCAGCAGCTGTGCCCACGGCTGAAGCTGTCCCCAGCACATGCCAGTGCCAGGGAAGGCCAGAGGGGCTCCAGTCTCTGCTGCTTCCTCAGCTCCCATAACCCAGCCCTGGCACCGGGCAGTGGTGCCAGCAGCTGGAGCTGGGTCAGTGGGGAGGGTCTGGGGTGGGGGCACTGAGTGAGGGGGGAAGGCTGGAGCAGATCCCACCTGCTCCAGGGTGGCACTGGGGGTTTCCTTGGTGGTGCTGCAGCAGCAGATCCTCTGCTGAGCTGGGAAAAAATGCATTGCCACAGCCAGTGTGCAGGGAGTGGGAGGGCACAGGGGGCAGGAGGGACACCAGCCACCCCCCTGGCCTGGAGAACACCATCCTTGTGCCCCTGCCTGTCCTCACAGCAGTGTGCCTGCACCCCCAGTCCTCACTCACCCAGGACCTGCTACCACTCCCAACCTCTTCTCCCACTCCCTGTGGGTGCTGCTCCAGCAGAACCATTGATTTGAGTGTTTCAGCCCCAGTCCCTGCTGCAGGCAGGAAAAGCTGTGCCTGAAGGGGCAGTGGGTGCAGCTCCCTCCTGGGGACCCCCCACACTGTGCTGGGTGGGTCTGACCCACGGGGGACAGCACAGCGGGGTCTCTGGCTTTTAGGGTACTTGTTTTGCTCCTGCAGGAGCTGCCTGGGTTTGGGGTGCCAGGGGCTGACCTGGCTGATGCCAGGAGCCACCTGCAGAGATCAGGGAAGCTCCTGCTTGGAAGGACAGCAGCCGCTGCTGCCAGCCCAGCTGGGCACTGCCAGACCCCAGCCCAGGGCAGGCTCAGCACCCAAAGCACAAATGCCCCTCCCAGGGATGGGGGGCAGAGCCTGTCCCTGTTCCCACGGGGACACATCCCCATGCACCCCGTTGTCTCCCCAATATCAATCCCTGCTGCTGCTGCCCCTGGCCAAAGCCAGGATTTGCTGGGACCATGGGGCAGCAGAAGTGGCTCAGCCCCGGGCAGGGGCAGCTGCAGGGCCCCACTGCTGTCCCTGGGAGTGACAAACAAGGGATGCAGGGATGTGCTGGAGCCACAGCAGCACCATCAGGAAAGGACAGGCTGTGCCAGGGCACAGCCAGGGGGGTCAGAGAGGGGCAGCCACAGGGGCAGAGCTGCAGCAGGCACTGGTTTGGGATTCCTGAGCTGCCTCCCCAGCCCTCAGTTTTGGGTTTTTCACCACTGGATTAATGTTTGCAGCAGCCTGGAGATCAAAATCCTCAGATGAAGCCAAGGTGTGGGCAGGGGGCATCCCTGGGGGGCACAGGGCTGGCAGTGGCAGCCAGCTGAGACAGCACCCTACAGGCTGCTCTGTGCTCACATGAAAAAAGATCATTTAAAAAAACCTCAGAAAGCAATACACTGAGCTAAAGAAATCACTGAGGATAGGGCTGAACTCCAGCTCTGCCTGCACTGACTCCCAGGCTTTGCCCACAGCATCACCACCACAGGGGAGGCAATTTTTGTCCCTAGAAGTCCCCTGGCCAAGGCCAAGGTGTGGCAGCGTTCCCCAAAAACCCCAAGAGCTGCCTGAGCACTGCTGAAAACCTCTGCCCCTTCCCAGAGAGAAGGGAGCTGGAGGATGAATATAGTCTTTTTATTGACTACTTTTGAGTAGAACAAACTAAATACATCTGTAACAGTTTGGGTTCCTTTATACAGGACATTAAATAAGTTATGCACAGGAATGAAGTAACAAATTTCTATTACAGAATTAAATGTCAAAAAAAAAAAAATAGAAACCTTAACCCAATGTCTTCCCACACCCCAAGTTCACATTTATCATTCCATCTTTTAAAAAAACAACAAAAAAGAAAAGAAGCAATCATTCTAATCGTGACTGTTAGTATTTCATTCATTTACACTGGGGTTAATTTTAATACACAGCCATCAACGTTGCATGAGAATTATGGAAGACAATCTATTTACAAGCAGCTCCTTCCAGCCCTGCCCTGCTCCCCCTCCCCAGCCCAGCCTGGCATTGCCACCACACACCCACAGCGTGAGGCTGGGGCTGCAGGTGAGGAGAGGACACCACAGCCACGTGGGACTGACCTGAGGCTGTTCCACAAGTGTCCCTTAGGGCAGGAAGTCCCTTCCTGACAGCCCTAGGATGGGCTGCTGCAGGTCAGGGTGGCTCCAGTGCCACCCCACTGGGAGCTGCCTCAATGCCAGTGTGCTCCAGCATCAACTCCTGGGGACAGAGGAGAGACATGCCCAGGGCCACTGGAGCTGTGGGATTCACCTCAACACCAGGAGACCTTGTGGCTTTTTAACAAAACCTTGCAGACCAGCTCCATCCCACAAGAGCAGCTTCCCAAGGGGCCAGGGCTGGAGCAGCAGGTTCCCTGCTCACCCTCATGACAACTCATTACAGCTCCATTGTCGCCCTCCAATTGAAAAAGCGATCAAAAATGAATTGGGAATTACTTGCCTCATTGGGCTCCAGCCCAGCAGTGGCACACACACAGTCCCAAACACGGCTCTGCTGAAGAGAAGGATTTCTAGAGCCCCTGTGGGAGTTGGGAGCAGCTCCTGGAGGGCACGTCCCCTCCCTGCCACGGGCTGTGCCACTGCCACCCTGTGTGACACTCCTGGCCAGCCCTGCTGCAGGGCTGTGCTGTCACAGCCTGCACTGCCCTGGGTCCCCCCCGTCCCTTTTTCCACCCCACAGCAGGGACTCTGTGATGGACAGAGCTCCCCAGGCTGGCCCCCTTCCCCAGGGACCTTGTGATCCTCTGGTTTTGGGATCCTCTGATCCTGGGGTTTCAGGACAATCTCTGAAGGTGGATGCACATCCCTGGGCATCTCTGGATGCAGCACTGCAGGAATCCCCTGGAGCAGGGGATAAAAATCCACAAAGGATAGATACCCAGTCCTGCCTTTCTTTTACCAGTGTGAGTGGAGAGCACAGGCTGTAAACAACCTCTCGCACCAGTGAGGCTCCCTGGGCTCAAAAACAACAGCAGGAACTCACAAACCAGCAGCTTCCAGGCAGTGAAAAAACAAAACAAGGGCCCCCAGGTGGAAAGGGCACCTGCACCCAGCCCAGATCTGCTGTGCACGTGTTCCCCCAGCAGAGGCCCCACCCAGGAAACACCCAACTGTCTGTCTCACCACAGACCAGGATGAAACCCGGGCCATCCAGCAGTACCTCCCTGCCACTGCCTCTTGTTTTAGAGCAGACAAATCCCCTCCTCCCTCTCTGCAACCCTCAGCTGCCAGCCTGGAGGCAGGAGAAGTGGGCTCAGCTTTTGCCATTGCACAGAGGATGAGATGCTCCCGCTGGGAAACTGGCTCTGGTCTGTTCACAGCAACAACCGGCCCACACAGCCACCTGAGAGCAGGCCAGCTGCCTGGGAGCAGGGAAAAAACACGGATATTATGGAGGAAAGGTGGCACAAGGAGGCAGTGGTGGCTCTGACACCTTGGGAAGCGAGTCTGAGCATGCCACAAGGACAGGGCACCACACTATCAGCATCTCCGGCGTGTGCCAGCACTCTCCCCCAAGTCCAGGTCCCTCAAGCATGTGCCCAGTGTTCCCCAGGTCCTGACACTGCTCTGGTGTCCCCCAGAGAGGAGCAAGGAGATGCTGCAGGCGAGGCTCACCCCAGTCCAAGAGCCACAAAGGAAAAGGCAGGATGAGAGGGCAAAGCCGGAGGGTCGGCGCTCCGATGTGTCAAATATGTCAAGTGATAACAGTTGCTGCAGGGGGTTTTTCAGCTTCAAAACCCCAGGAACTCATCCAGTGGAGTGAAGCCAGGCCTCCCTCCTAGAGTCCGTTCGTGTCTATGGCTGTCACAGACGCTGGCGTGGAGGAGCGCGAGGTGGTGGCCGAGGTCTTCTCCAGGGCTGGGCTGGGGATGCCATCGAGGCTCTTGGCTGCCGCTGCCACCCGGCCCGTGGGCAGGGCCAGGGGCTTGCTCTGGCCGTGCAGGCCCTGCCCACAGATGCGGTGGTGCCTCTCCCAGTCCTTGTGCTGGCAGAAGGAGCCGCAGTACCGGGCGATGTTGCAGCCGCTGCACGTCTCGCTGGCCTTGCGGCCGCAGTTCCAGCAGCTCTGCAAGACCAAAGACACTGTGCTTGAAAGGGGGTCACAGAATCACAGAACCATGAGGTTGGAAGAGACCTCCACGATCATCGAGTCCAACCTCTGTGCTAACACCCCAACTAGACTGTAGCACCAAGTGCCATGTCCAGTGCTCAAGCATCTCAACATCCTTCCTAAACTGAGGGGCCAGAAGTGGACACAGTTTAGTTTCCCTGGGAGCTGCAGGATGGTGCTGACTCAGCTCTAGAGGGGACTGTTCATCCCCTCTGGCCCGGATTTGAGAATGTGAAAATGAGCAATCCATTAATTCCTGCTATTTCCCAGCTCTTTGCCAACGGTTCTAACCCCCACTGCTGTTTGCCCACAGCTGCTGTCACACTGCTCCAGGCACATCCTCTCCCCTAGACCCACCCGAATGCAGAGAGGAAACAGCAGGCATGGACTGAAAAACACGCTGCAGATGCTGCTATTGGGCCTTTTTATTTCCTGTTTTAAGCAGCTCTATTTTGGTCTTGCTCCCAGCCAAGCGCTCTCTCTCCGCGGGGATCACGGCGCGCTGCACAGGCACCATTTGCTCCGCACCCTGCCTCGCTGCACAAGAGGCTGG